GCTTTCTCGCACCTGTTACCGCTACCTATGTGAAAGACTAAAAGAGTACATTCGTCAAGAGTTTTACGGGGAATTCTTAGGCTTGCTCGAATAAGCATTCAATTATTTATCCCAAACTTGTAAAAGAAACGTTAACTCTCGAATCCTGATCTATACATTTTCTACAAAATCTCTGCAACGATCTGCCGTGGTCTCTGGACCTCATTTTTTCTCGATATTCCCGAACATTCCCACCGACATCGCGACTTCCACGAACATCGAGAGATTCTACTCGATCAGTCGACGACCGTTCGTTTCCAACAAGCGCCGTTCCAGTCGCAAATGTCAACCGTGACAGGAGGGAAAACGCAGCCGGAGGGAAGGAAAAAAGGAAAAAAAAGGGACGGGAAAGAGACGAGCGGCTGGTTCGAAGAGACGATTTTGCAAGGGAGTCGAGGCACGAGCCGCGGGGAAATTGGACGCGTCAAATGTCACATATCCGCGCGGGCTCGATTAAATGTCGCCGTCGAGATACTCGCGCGATGGTACTCGATACGGCGGCGCGTCCTTGTTGAAATTAAATTGGACGGTCCTCGCTGCTCGCGCGCGTAGAAAAGATCGCTCTCGACGAAACGAAACGAAATTACGCAATTCACCGCAAGCCGCACACCGGCAACCCTGTGTGTATCCTGTCGTCCCGCCGCGTATTGATACAACGAAGATCGATTTCTTCGTTACGCAACCACACGCAGGAGGGAGGGTAGAAAGAAAGTAGTGGCGACGAGCGTTAACTCAGGTTCAGGAACTTTCTTGCATCGAGCGCGACACGAACCAACTTCCTCTTTTCCGCAAGATAGTCGTGTCGCGACGCGACCAACTCAAATGGATTTTTAACGATTAGACGGAGCGATATGATGAAAAGTGGAGAGAAAGTTTCAAGGAAGGAAATCCGCCGTGAAACTTTTTATCGATTTCTCCGCGAGTGTGATACAATTTATTTGCTTTTATCGTTCGATTTAATAGAAAAAAAAAAGAAAGATTATCGAGGAAAAAGATGTAAAGTCAAAATGTAGGAAAGCTTCCTCCACAAGAGTGGTAAGAATTTATCACAATAATAATATGTAATATTATGAAAAAGTGATCGAACACCATAGAAAAGCACCATGTTATAAAAAAAGATTGTTCCACTGACGATCGTGTAAAAAGACGGCATAAAAAGACGGAAGTAGACGAGCGAAATTACGTAAACAACTCTCCGATGAAGCTGCACATTTTGTCAGCACACCTTTGGATGCGTGAGATGACACGAAGAGGAGGATGCAAAATTCTTGTGTTACACATTTCCTTCCGGTTGTGTAACAGGCGCCCGGTTACACCCCATCCCTTCGTCTGGCCAACACCCGCTCGTTGCGTTCTCTTCAACAAAGGATCCGCAGTTTTCGATGAGCGTTTTTTAATAGTTTCCGATAGGTCCTGGAAAAGAGGGGAAAAAGAAAAGGACGAAAAGAAAAAAAAAACGAGAACGAATGAACGGTGCAGCAGTTGCTTGGATGGTTGTCGACAAACGCCGACAGTTTTTCGGTCCCTCGAGTGTCCATGCACGAGCAGGAGGGAATACAAATGCAGGAAGTTACGCATCCTGTGCGATCGATCTATCGCTTGCAGGATCGTGCTTCGGCCTTTATTCGACCGGTCCTGGACACTCGAGACGCAGATAGAGAACTTTGATCTTGGAATACTTTCCAACATTTTACTCTCACTTTTAGTAAATAGTACCTACTTCCGTCTCGAAAAAACTAAATTCTCTCGAACTTTTCATCGGGTACTTTTCGAAAAGAAAATCGTATCTATGTATGTTAGAGATCGGTCTTTATTTCATTTGTAATTTGGACTTTAATGGAAATTAATACTTAACGCAATTATCAATGCTTCGCTAATGATCTACTTCCAGAAGAAAACGATAATCTTTCCACGAAGCAATTATTACAGAAAGAATCCTCATCGTGGGAGATAACACTAATAAGGTGTGAGAGTATTTAGCAACGCTTTGTTAGCAAGCTGCACAATGCGGACGATGAATCTGTTAAATAAGAGAACGAGGAAGATCACGCTGGTTTCGCTGGACCGTGAGAATGCGTGGTTTGGAAAAAAATAAAACCACCGGGCATTCAAGATAATGATGATGATGATGATGATGATTTGGGGCACAAACGAGGCCGAACGAGATGCGGCAGAAGGTTACTGGAAAAAGGGTTGCGCCTTTTTTCCACCAGACTGAACCGGTCTTTCATTCCAGATTGATTAAAACTTGTAAGAAGATAAAACGGCAGTCGGCGTTGTATAAATGAATTAGAAACGAGAAAAACCTGATAATTTTATTGAGAAAATTACACCAAGAATCCGCACAGATGCGTTTGACAGACCTTGATGGATATATTAATAGATTCGTTGAAACTTGGCGCATGGATCGCGCCTATCCTCTCATTGAAATCACCAACTTCTGTTTCTCTCTACGATACTAATGTAAACGAAGAGAAAATTATGCATTCATGAAACAGGATATTTTGTATCACACTTGCTAACGAACCAGGACGAATATATACCGACAAGTAATACACTATTCAAAACAATTAAGGAATTATTATGCGAATATTAAACCAATTTAAACAAATTAATTTTAATTTTGTAGATAGTAGTGACATAGAGAATCCTAAGAAGTGTAGGTTTTACAAGTTCTAAATTGTACTGCTGTAATCAATGCTATTTCATGACAAGTAAATCCTGTAATTCACAATTGATAGAATAACTAGTCGAATATAGCAACGCTTCACGGAATAATCTCTGAAATTTGATAATCCCTACGGAAATCCTACAATTTTTTCCATTAATTCTCCTTTCGTTCGTACAAAGTGTTAAACAGTCCTTTTCCTGCAATGTTATGGCGGAAAAGAAAGAAATCCTTCAGTTAAGTGATGGAAAGGACTTAAAGTGAATTATATCAATTCTCAAAGGGATTTATGCTTCTATTTACGATGGTGGATGTTTTCCGAGGTAAAGCACTCGACACTTGAAAGCAGAAAATTACCTGGCCCTCTCTCGACTGGCCATAAACTTGTACTATGTTTTTTGGTCAGTGTGGTTTTTTTTCAATGAAGGAAAGGTGAAAGGATTATTCTTGCACGGACTGAAAGGTACATTCACGCTGCGCCTTGTAAAGACCAGACGACGAAAGGGTTGCAGGGTACGATCGGGTCGACAAATGTTTTTTTAAAGCTGCGAAATCGCAGATTACCGTAGTCCCTTTGTAATTGCAGAGACTTTTACGGACATTTAGAATCTATTACGTCAAATATATTTTGCTTGGGGAGTTATAAATTTTGGTGACTCTCGGTGGAAGACGAAAGAACTATTTTGTTCTTTCCGTACATTCTTGTTGATTTTATTTTCTACCCTTCGAAAAAATTATTATATGTTATATTTAGATTATATTTAGATTATATTTAATGAAATATCATAGTTTGGGCGCAAAATCCAATGTATACTATCTATACTGGGCTGTTGAATACCGGTAGATAACACCTAAGATTTCTTAGAAGCGGAGCAGGTGCCATCTTTAGTAAGTATCCTAAAGCTTGAGAAGGTTACTCAAGATAAATTCGAACAGGTTACCGGTAAAGGACTAAAGTGGATAGATCGAGATTATGATTCATTTTCATTTTTTTTTTTTCTTTTTTTTATGAAATATAGCATAGATGTGTATAATATAATTGATTTTTATGCTTTACGATTTGAGAACTCCAACAGATCAATATCACTTTAATGTCATTTCCAACATTACCGATCCAGTACGAAGTAAAATTATATTTGTAATTATAGGTAGTTTAAAGTAGCTTAAAATCCCACGCAATGAATATTTTAGCTGCTTAATTACTCTCTAGTTTCAAAGTTAATGATCCCTTCCCATTATCATATTAAAGAGTTTAAGCTATAGCTAGTACTATAAGATTTTAATCTATAATAATTTACATATAATTTATTATATCTATCAAAAGTCTAAACAAATAAATATTTATATAATCTGAATAAATACTTGATAATAATAAAAAAAAATCTACTAGAATTTTAATTATTCGCGACGGATAATACAAATCGCAATGCTGTAAAATTAGTTCAAACTCAGTATTTTTTTAAATTCAATTCCAAAAAAATTCTCACATTACATCTAATGTAATTATTACTTAATGTATTATTCTTGAAAAAACAACAGCAATTTATAACAATAAATATCACGAAAAATCGCGATATCATATAAAATTTGCAACATTACTTCAATCCGACTTCAATATTTTTTCACAATGTGAAATTAATTAGATCGAAACTCTAGTCCAAACTGAGTAATCATTCGCAACATTATTAAAAAACCACGATTTGGTGATAAATGTTCATCGATCAAAAAATAACTATCTCTGCTAATTATTAAAAGCGAGCACAGTGACAAAATAATAACAAGAATGACTTTCCATGCTCTAGAGGGATTTTCCAATATATATAATTTATTACTTTGATTGGTCGAAATCTACCTGTTTCTTCTTGCATAGCAATTTTTTTATACATTTTTGTGTAGAAAAAATTAAATTTTGACCTTTATTTTATTATTATGACTATAATGTCATTACTATCATTATTATTATTGTTATATTTTTATATCATATTATCATTGCATTGTTGTCATAAATAAAAATAAATATTGTACTTCGCCAGAACACTTGTATTGTAAATGTATCATTATTGAAATTTAGAACTTTGATGTGCAAAAAAACTAATCTAAGCTAATAAATAAAACAACAAAAAGCATCAAAAAACAACTAAATAAGAAAATGTTATTACTCACGGGTATAATGAATACCCGAGGTCACTATGCTCGTCAAAAACTTCTATATAATACAACCAGTCACTTGTGTCGATTCGGACTTTCATCCTACGACATGTTTGAGTGACCGGAGGAAAGAAAAGCATATGACTTACGATTAGATGCGAAGGGCGTTATTATCGATGCTGCCAGCGAGTCTAGAAGTCATCATGAAGGTCGTCATCAAGTTGAATCTAGGTAATATTATGTTGGAAAAGGAAACTATGATAAATCTTGTAACATGGAATATCGTAATATATTCTTAATAAAATTAATTTTAAACAGAGATTTATTCACAGATACTTACATTCTTGGCGATCAGAGTGCCATCAGATCCTGGCAAAAGGAAGCATATGGCAAAAAGTCTATAACAAAACATGAAATTAATAAAAATGTAAATTAATTAAAATTTAATATGATATAAATATACTTACATTCTTAACTTTTGCCAAACTGTTAGATCCTCTAAAGAGGATTGAAGGAGGATTGGAAAATTGAAAAATCTATAAAAATACCAATATACGTATTATAATTCAACTTCAGAGTCATTTGAAAAATAAATAATTTAATCATAGAAAATTATACTTTTAGATAATTATATAAAGAACGAAATAGATTGAGAAATAAAATATATGCAAGTAAGTAAGTACTTACATTCTTAATCTTCTGGAGACGCTCGATCCACTTGCGAAAATCTAATACCGAACACCACTCTAATACCGAAAACGAATATTGAAAAAAAAAAGAAAAGACCATTAGTGCACGTGTTTATATAAAAATAGGCGAACAAACACTAACTCTAATTTCGCGAATGATCATTAGAACTAGCTTTGAGCTGAGAGCTATTATGTTTTAAGAAATAGTTGATACTATTACGGAACAAACACTGACTCTATTAACCGCATTGCACGCGGTCACAAACATTCTCTGAAAATAAAACTTAAATAGTGGGGAAAAGGGGAAAAAAATTTCTCTTCTTCTTTCTACAGAATGTTTGTTTTGAAAAATATCTTTTAATTTGCTGAAGTCACATCATCACTATTCATTTTTTATTAAAAATCATCATGTTAAAAAATAGATTCTAAGTGCAATACAACCAATTTGCACGAATTAGGTTATGAATGTTCGTTACCAAAATATAATTCCTGTTAAGTAATAAACTACATTACGTCTTACAAATATGTGCAAATGTTTACGACATCTAAAAAATTTTGTAAATACGTGCTTAAAGATAGCAAGATATTATACAAAAGGAACATCTAACTTGTCGAAACGTGTTTGAATGTTTTTGTTACTGAGTCTATCCCACAACAAAATATTGTTAACGTTGGTAACATGAACATTCGGTAGTACTATTTGTATAGAATTCGTAATTAAAGAAAGACCTAAAAGTTACCTGTTTAAAATGGGAGGAATGCCTGATAAATCAACATTAATCAAATTTACAATCACTATAAAATAATTTAATTATAAACATATTAAATGTATTGTAGGTTATTGACCTAGTGTAGAGAATATTATATTAAATATTTTTAACATTAGTTCAAAAAAGAAATAATTGAAACACATATATACCTACATCAGTCTTGACCAGCATCAATCGAATATTACTACGAAAATCGAATTGAATTGACTGTTGATAATCATAGCACTGGTTTTCTACTGCTTCGATGTCATTTCTGCAGACAACTAATCGATCTACATGAAAAAGAAATTAAAGATTTGAAACAGATGTATAAAAATATACCAAAAGATGTATAAAAATATACCAAGTGTACTAGAATCAATCCAAAATTGAACTCTGAACCAAATTCCAAAACCAAAAGCTTATAGTGTAAACGGAGATGATTGTGTAATTTCAACATAATAATGTCTAACGAATGATTATACGAACCTGGATTAATTAAATGATGCTAACTGTAGTCTATGAACGAAGACAAAGCAGGGATGAAAATACTACGCAGTTGAGACACGTCGTGCATGTAATAACACGAGGGTTTACTTTCCGATAAGTGAGTAATGTCGTGCGTAACACATTAGATAGCTGCTTTCAGATTGGCTGATGCGATACGTTACCGCTTTTTGATTGGCTGGCGTTACACAGTTTTATTTCCAATCAGAATTATGCGCGGGACTGAAATTATGTACGCGGTAAATTGAAATATTGTTTACGGCAAATTGAAATACTATATGCAGTAGAATCAAACAATGAATTTATCTTGTGCTTTTTATTTAACAAAATGTACGTATATTAAGCATATAAGCAATTTTTTAAATAGAAAATTAAATATTTTGCAAATAATTTCATAAAGAATATACAATGTATAGTGATTTTGCAATATAAATAGGTAGTATTATTCAGAAAATACATATATATGTTGATTTGTCTTGAAGAAATTAAATTAATTAATAATTAGTAGAAATAATTAATGAGAATATTTTTTAAATACGAAACATAATTATATTTTTTTATTAATATTTTTATCTTTTGAATTTTGTTATTGAAATTTTCATATTATATTGTTTTACATCTTCTTCAAAAGATTTAAAACATTTAAAATATTTGTTGCAATCAATTGAAAAAAATTTGTTAAAAATATCATGAAATAGTAGGAAGTAAATAAATAGAACACAATAGAAATAATAATAGCACTTTTTGACCCTTTCAACGCGATTAGAATAATTTTACTTTAATTAACGGTGAAAGTACATTTGTCCGCATGTCACGTACATGAGATATTTCCAATGAAATTTTATTAATGCGTCTCTCATGGCAGAAATGATTTTGAATTCCAATGAGTAAAATTATTTAACGAATAAAGAAAATGATAAAGGGTGTGAGAAAGAGAAAATTGTACTCTGTTATTCACATGCTTTTATTAACAAATGCGAGGGAGATAATAAATAATCGTGTCGCGCAAATAATAAATAAGAAACAGCAACGTCCTGGCGTTCGTTAAAAAATGATAAACATTCAAGCCAGCCTCTTCGACTCATCGTCAATCGAGATTGGTGATCATCTCTTTGTTCTATCAATTTTTACTGAATCGATTACCTTTTAACTAGTATACGTATACGTGTCATTGAACGAACAGTGCCATTAAAGTTCCATTTCCTCGTCGAATATACGATCCATAAATTATCAATTACTAATTTATCGTTTTCAACCTCGAAATTGTACAACGAGATAATAGAACTTCATTTTGCTCTGTATGGCAGAACGATCGGCAGTCTTCGATCGACCGATCGTCTATCTCGAACTAACTTCGATCGACGATCATCAAATTCAGTTCTGGTGGTTAAATAACCAAATGGCGTGCGTCTCTTTGGTCTCTCGATCGTACGATCGATCCGTCGTTAAGAACATGAGTTAATCAGGGAATGAATCGTGGCATCGGTCGGCAAACGACGCATATTTATAACCGTGATCTAGTAATTCGATGAGCTGCCTGGATTGATTGACGACGAGGATGATGAGGAGGACGAGGAGGAGGAATACGAGTTCGATCCACTGCCTGGCGAGTAGTAAGAGTAAGCGAGATTCTGGGCTTCCACACCGTTGGTCGGCGTCCAGACGCGGGAATATGGACCATTTCCATCCCACGTGTTCGCCGGATCGTAGCTCGACGTGGTCGAGGGCAAAGGTGGAGCTCCATATGCCGGTGTAGCTGGTTCCATTGACATTCCTGCAACAGAAAGTTTTGCTGTTTTTACTCTCTCGTCAGGCGATGACATCGTTCGTCGCGTAATATTATATTAAATTTTCCTTCGGCTGATATTTAACATTTAGATCAAAAAAGAGTTTCTTCTTAGAAATTATCACATTATGACCGTAATACATACCCATTGGCATCGCCATTCCACTCTTCTTGAAGAACTGCACAGCGATAAATCCAACGACTAGAAGGACCGCGAGTTTCGAGAGCACCAGAGCTTTCAATGCCTTCAGTCCAATGATAGCGACGAAGATTGGCATCAAAGCTTTCAATTTCAGTTTTAACAACAGCAGGAAAGGCAACAACAGCTTCTTCTTCAAAAGTCCTCTGGCTTGGCTGGTAGCAACTTCGTTTCCTTTGAATTCGATGTCTAAGTCAGCTAAACTTCTGCTAGGTCTGTACTTGAGACTAGCGTCTACGAAGGGCAAATCAATTCCATAATCGAAGCTCTTCAGGTACTTGAAGGTCCTAGCAACGATAGCTTCGTCCACGGTATCCAAGGATCTGGCTTCGGTACTGGTTCCGAGCTTTCCATCCAAGTATCCAAGCACCTCGTGTTTCAGACAAGATATCCAGGAGTCCGCGGCGATGCACTCGTTCAGAGACTTGGAGAGGAATTCTTGGCTGGCCAGGCAGCTTCCTGCCATCAACACAATCGCTGCTGTTGCTACGAAAGTCCTCATCTTGATCCTCAGATTATCCCTGCGATTAATTATCCCAAAGTGGTCTCTGGCAACACGACTCGTACACTCTGTTTCTCGATGAAAACGCGAAACGATCGATCGTCCACCCGTGTGCGTGCGAGCGAGCGATCGCCGATCGAACTGCGACTGACAGAGGAGTGGCCCGCCCCTTTTATTTAATTTGCCCCCCGCGAATCTATGTTATTCGGTCGCGCATGCCGGGAATCGACGATCGGAGGAAAATTATTCAAATTTCACTGGCACATAGAACGACTTCTCCTCTACACCCTTCCCTCACCTCGTGAAGTACGTGCGTGCACGCGTCCCGACGCGTTTACGATCGCGTATACGTATGTAGCGTCGCGTATCGCGTACACGATGGCATTCGCGACGCCTCGCCGCACGGGAAACGGAACTTGTCCCGCGTTCACCGACGATTCGTGCTCTCCTCAACTTGGACGTCGTTTCTAACGCCCCACTCGTTTCTAACATATTCGCGAGCGATCTCTATGCCTTCTACGATCTGTAAGGAACACGCGTTTTGGCCAACGGATAACCGTTCTCGTTGTACGTCGACAAGTGGCTGGTGAACGGGGACGCTTAGCTTCCACCGACGATTTTTGGCCGTTTGACGCACTCATATAAGGATCGATGGAATGTTTGCTGGGTTTCAATAGATCGTTCTGTTTTAACGACTCGTTGGTATCTAGGTTTCTTGGCTAGTGTTACTGTTATAGAATACCTCATAAGATAAACTGATAAGATGATTTGAACGTTACTATTTGCGTAAACCTTCTGGAGGATTTTCGATTTCACATAAAAGAGGATTATTTTATGATTATTCAAGATTCTTTAATTTTAAATTTATGATGAAAGAAAATTCAGTCTCATAAATCTAGAGCATCACTTGAAGAATCTTATAATCAACATTCATTCGATACGCAGTATAATTAAAAAATTGGAACTTTAATATCGTTTACAGAAAAATGCATGTAACTATAAAATACCGCGAATCGTTGAGTTAAATGTTGCACACCCCAAATTGCATATCATTTCCTCTATAGTAACGACGTAATCTGCGAGTCCTGAAGCAGTTTCAAGTAAACGAGTAAACGAGTGGGATACTTTTAAATCACTGGCAATGTTTCCATCAATTTGTGTGATTAAATGTTTGTCGGCGATTTCAGCGTGTCAAACGAAAATCGATATGAGATAACCCGTGTAAGGTATACCAGAAATAATAACAATAAAAAGGAAAGTATAAACTGCAGGAGGGTCACTGCGAGGATTAAACTGGATTTCCATTTTACGGAAACATGTTCACGAGAGACAAAGCGGTGCGTGGTTTCCAGGCCGCGCGCAGTAGCCGCGTCTGATTATTATCGGGCATAATCTCCTTGCAGAACCGGACTGCGTCTGCGTCTAGAACTAGATTCCACTTGAAGACAATTTTACACACCGTTTTTATAATTAAACGTTGGCAAGGACGGATTGCTTCAATTAGGAAGGAGACTGCGTGACGTTAACAGACACCATTCATGCCGTTAAACTATGAAATAATCTGCATCGTTAATGGGTCATTTACATTTATGATAAGCTTCGCTTGAAATGGTTTCACCGTGAAGGAAGATCTGATTTGTTGCGTGATAAACGAGACATGCTATCCTTGAATAACGTCCTTTAATGAATCTAAGAATTTCCTTTAACGAAGCTTCTAAAAGTAAGTCGGTACATCGATATCGTTTCAGCCTTGTAATTAGGTGGCACGACTCATCATGATAACGATAGTAATCATATATTCTTATTGCGTCGAAGTTATATCAGACACTAGAAATAAAGACATAATTGTAACGTGATGCGAAACCTACGACTACATGTCATGTTAGTTAGTTATCACATGTATTGTATCTACATGTATTGTTAGTTAGTTATCACCTTCAGTAAATTCTCTCGTAAATTGCTATTAGCCGCTACGAAGAACCTGCTTTTTACTTCAGACCCAGCTAGCTAATTTTAATCGAAAAACTGCCCCCTTTCAACTTCTATAAATCATTTTCTCCACAAGAGTTTGTTCTGTTATTACCCATTAGCAACATGTACTTGAAATATATACACTTTGCGAGGATTATCGAGCTACCATCAGCAGTCAAATCAAGTCATGGGAATCCAGCCGTGGAGGAACTCAGACAGACGGAGTAAATTGCAATAATAATTTATTAAATAAAGAGTACAGGAGGAGAGATGGAAGACAGGTATTTTACAAAAGTCGCGGCAGTAAACGAGATGCGCGGACGAGTGCTTTACGATTGCGCGTGTCCGGAATATGCGAGATCTTGAGCGAACAACGCGGACGGCTGTTCGTCGTCCTGGAAGGATCTGTATTGAGCCTGGTACTCCCACGGTCCGTGAGAGGCCAACGCTGCTCCGTGGCTGTCCGCTGCGATTTTCTTACAGAGCTGGAAGATAGCCATGCCGACGGCGACGATGAAACTGAAGAACGAAAGTTGAAGAGCGTTCCAAGCTTTGAGACCGAGGACACCGATGGCCAAAGGTATGAGAGTCATTGCCTTGAGCAGGACGAACACTAGAATGGGGATGACGACCTTCTTCAGCTTGGACTTGCGAGCCTCTTCGACGGCACGACCCTGGCCGAACTTGACGTCAAAGGTGAGTTGATCGTCGTCGATGTTCCTGGCGCTCACCTTCACCGACGAGTCCATCGGCAACTTGAAGGTCACGTCGTGAGAGGTCAGATAGGTCTGCACGTTGTCCAGGAAGGAACCCTCGCTGCGAGCGGACACTTCTTCGGCGGGATACGAGTTGCGAGTTACCTCCACGGTTTCAGAGACCTGTACGTGACAAAGGGGAAAGTGAATTTACATCGAATACCTGGTTAAACACGGTCGCGCAACTTGCCTTTTCGCTCTCTAAAACTTTCAAACTGTAAAAACGGTCAGATTACGATCACCGAATCACAGTGATAACTGGTAATCGGGGCCGAGGTGGTAAAAGTGAAGTGAAAATAGAACGGCGTAAAATTGCTTGCTCAACCGGGTTGAAACGGGTTAGTCGACACTTACCTTGAAGCTGTCTTTGCGGAAGACCTGGTCGAGAAGGTTCAGAACCTTGAATTTCATGCAGGCGACCTCGTCGTTCTTCTGCGCGCACTCGATCTTTGTCTGATCCACCATCTGGTCCATGCTGCTACCCTTCCAGAGGTCGTTCTTCGCGGGCTGAGCGGCCGCCAAGGCCAACAGCGAGCACAACACGAACAGCTTCATGGTTTTTCCCTGATGTGATACCCTGAAGAAGGTCTTGAGGACGATAGCTGGGAACGACGATTGTACGACGACTGATGCCAATGGATTGGGCACCAGACTATTTATACGAAGCCCCCGTCGTTGAATCGTCGGACGTTCGTCGCGTAGCGGAGCACCCGGCACACACGACGCCCCCACTTCCACCCGGCCACGAATTTTCTTTTCGTTCAGTATGGTGTTCGATTATCGAGGCCTCGACGCGATCGTGACAGGAATATGGGACTGTGCAGGATCAGCAAAGCCGAAAGAAAGCTCCGTCGCGACCGATGTCAATACGAAAGGGTCGCGTGCTGCGTTAAAGACTATGTTACCATAGCGACGCGTGTTGCATTGTTTCCTTTTAGTGCATTGACTGCAGAGGTATAGTTAGGTGTTCTGTGCGATCCATTCAAAATTGTACAATCGAATTTCGTATTGGCAGGTAGAGATTGAGAAAATTGAGAAATGAGAAGATGATTCTATTGATAAATATATCATACCTGTCATCGTACGATACATTTTTCGAAACTTCCACTTTCGATATAAGGTGTTATGCAGATATGGTTGATATTACTGCACGTCAGAATCGGTGTTTCGCCTGACCACCGATTCATACCAAATTCGTCAAAATATCTATCATTTCATTAACCTCGATCAAGTATCGATAAAAAAATCCACTCACGCAATAAACCGGGCGAAACTTTCGAATATTTGGCCTGCCATCGTGCAGCATCGTTTCAGGTAGCAAAGCGGAAGTGCCTGGCGTGCGCGAGCTAGTAAAAGCAGAAGACTCTTCGTCTTTGGCACCAATGGCACCGTAACATTGGCATTGAATCGATCGTTCATTCACGCCACGAGCACGGCACTTTCCACACGTCTGTTCTCGCTGATACTTACCTACACCCCACCCCTTTGAATTAATACTAATCTAACAATTATGTATCCCCCTTGACAATAGAATTTTCGTCCAAGATAAAATTGATATTCTACTGGATAATAATAACTTTCACTTTTTTTCTAGAGAAAATTTCTATTTTCATCGCAATTTATAGCACTCGAGTATGTTCAATATAGTAAACGAAAGGAACTTACGAACGATATTTATAAACGTTAAATGTTCTCCCAGTTCATTCATCTTCTAAAAAGAAATTTGATTTCCCACTATAATACTTTATATTTGTTTGATTGATACTTCACGAAGCTTAACGAAGATCGTGAATATACTTAACTTTTTCGTGCCTCGATCAAACTGCACGCGTTGAGAGATTTGACAAAGAGGTTCAGACAAAGAATATCAGAAATGCACATTGCGTGCGAGTTTCTCGTGCGAGAATGCGCGCGCGGGGTTGTGACGAGACACTTTTGTCCGCTTTGCCCGACATCCTTCTCCTTGTAACAATGAAGCGGTAATTGGAATTTTGGGTCGAGTTTGCATAAGCATTCAGGACGTAGCAGCACCGATCGATGTCACCTTTCCGATTGTATTCGAACATTCTAATTTTCCCTTCGCGAGTTTCCACGCTCGCGATCTCTAATTTTCCTCGTTTGTGCTCTCCTTTGCCCCCTTGCGCGTCGTATTTCCACGTACACGCAATGCTCTGCTCGACGTGGGATCATAGCACGTGGATTTACTTGAATGAAATGCTGTCCGAAGTTCGCGAAACTTCAAGAACGATTCGATTTTCGCAGGGACGATATCTACTATTACTGTTCTACAAATCATCTCAAACGACTCAGTTGGAGCCAATCGACCCAATTAATTCCACGACACTCGATTTCCAGCAGATTTGCCTGGAAACGATCGCTGAATGCCCAAGTAACCCTTTCTACTTTCTCAGCTGTTGAACACCTGCTACGATCGATTCTCGTCTCGTAGGCAAATAATAAAATGGAAAGTAACCAAATGCAGCCGATTTTTTTTTTTTTTCTTTCTTTCTCCCGATGAGTAGGGTGAGAGTGACAGATCGAGACAAGGTTTGATGAGACCATGTAAGAAATTTTATTTATAAATAAGTCAAAGTCGCGCGTGAATAAATAATAAATAGAACGATTCTAGGGGGGAGGAGGGAGAAAGTTGAGTTCCTTCGACAGTCTATTTCCTGTACGCCCTGTAGGGGCCGTGAGCTGGCGACTCCCAGTGCGGCGGGTGCTCTACAGGTGGATGTCCGTAGTGCACGACTTCGTAAGCGACCTTGGGTTTCGTCAGCTTGAAGATCACCATCGCTCCACTGAGCACCAGCGAGAGGAGACCCAGAGTGAGAGCTTTCCAGGTTTTCAGAGCAATCAAGGCAAGGGCGAGCGGCACCAGTGCAGTGGCTTTAAACTTCAGACCAAGCAGGAACGGTATCATGACCTTCTTGACGAATCCACGGCCTGCGAATATCATCATGGATGAATGTATCAAATCAACTGAAATTCCACCTTTTTTGTTCCTTTGTAAAATAAATTTCGTTACCTTGACCGTTCGAGGAGTCTGATAGAGGGACGGTCAAACTCCTGGGCATGCTGTCCACCAGAGATCTTGGTACAATGTTGGATCCAACAATGGCCTCGGGTAACTTAGCCTCCAGCTGATGGCTGGACAAGTACGCGTCCAGTTTCTCCAACATCAAGGACCTCAGAAGTTCCTTCCTAGCGGGGTCTACGGAATCGTACTGCGAGGGGTAGTATTCCTCGCTGCTCTCCTCGGGCATGTCTCTAGATGTCACGATCGCCAAGTCGTCCGTGATGCCTAGTCTGTCTTTTTTCACTGCGTGGCTGAGATAGGCCAGGACTTTGGGTTTCGCGCACGATAACATGGACTCATTGTCAGCGCATCTGCGAAATGAAACGAATCACTGGAGCATAATTTTTATTTATTTATTTATTTTTTTTCAATATCTCGCAATTTTTATTTAGCACTTTAATGAATGAACTTCGTTCTTATCTTACGGGCTTACCTGTAATAAATGTTTCTAAGGGCGTCGACTGTCGTCTCGGTCGTTTGCGCGGTGGCGAGGGCGGCCAGGAGGGTGACAGACGCGGCGATCGTTGTGAACTTCATGACGGTACCCACCGATTTGCGAGGCTAAACACCGAATGCCGGCTCGAACGAAGACAACGCGGTTTTATAGCCGATGGAAGCCACGTACGGCCGATGAATTTTGATCAGGAACGTGTGCCTGGCTAAAAGGAAAGAAGAAAGCCTCGTTATCTGGGGTGCCAATGTTTTCACGGCTTCGTGTTTTGTCCTCGCGGGACAATTTTGATTTCGACACCCACCGTTTCCGGTCGATTTTGCTTCCTTGCATGGCCTGGAACCATGGCGTTGAGGACATTTCTCGTCGATAACCGTCGCGGCGCTCGCGACACAAGTGAATTTTAGAAAAGCAACGGTTTGGAAAGAAACGCGCGGCGTGATAGTTACTTTAAGTGAAGGAAAACTGACGACGATGAAGTGAAATTGCCCGAGCGTCGATCGTGAGAGGAGAATAGATGAAAGTAAAAACGATTTATAAATGAGAAATAATGAAGACCGGTGGAAGTTGATGGAAAGTGACTTTATATAGGCTATTTGGCTCGCCCTTGCGTAAGAATCGTACGAATGACTGTTCTTAAATAAGGTACTGCGGTTTATGTTGAATTTCTTTCGTAGTGAAAAATAAATGACTTTCTCGATATATAATCTATACCTGAATTATAATACAGATTATAAAATACATTGATTAATTTTAAATTCAAGAGTAATTACTATAATACATTATATTGATTGTGGTAATTAAATTATGACACAGTAACTGTCCTTTTTACATCGTTTATTGTGAACAAAACAATATGAGTTACAACTTCGAGGTAGTGTCATCGAAGTATTAAGTCGTCTTTGTACAGTACATAACTTACTACGTTCTAAACATAATCGAGTTAATAACGCGTACAATAAATAATAGCTGGGTATGGCACCCGAGAACGTAGCAATAAATAATCATATCCAAAAATAAATAAATCATCGCATCTAATGTTGAGGATTTCCTATTCGAAAATTCGCATGTATAACGTATCGACTTACACTTGGATTGAATTATATATATATATATATATATACATAAATTATCATTTATGTGTAACACGATAACGTGCCAAATGCACACATTTATGTGTACACAGAAGAATTGTTATCAATTACAAAATACATATCTGACAAAAACGTGAAACAATAATTGCCAACGCACAGTCCAGTGCACGATCGAAGGCCATTATTTGGGAGATACGTTTCTCTCACTTTTCTGACAAAGTGTCAAAGAAACGAAAGTTTGACATTTCATCAGTAAATTTCATTCAGCTTCAGACAGTATCGGAGGCTGAACGAACGTTTAAGAAACTCCTCGTTACAACTCCTCCAAAAAAATGTCCTACTTACATCTCTAAATAGAACGTATTTAATTAAATCGAACGGAGCGCACGTTTCTTCTCGATTTAATACGTAACCCGACATAAAAATCCCACGTAATGTCGTCTCGAATGCAAGAAACAATCAGAACGCTTTTACGTGTTACAAAAATCTTCGCTCGTTACCGACAGTTATAAATAATAAATTAGCTGTGAAATCAACTGACATCCTTCTATTAGAACGATCGATCCATGGCCTTGACACGAACGAACAGCCTACATTCGTGACCACCTAAATATGTAGCGCCTAGCGGAACAAACCAGTCGAACTCGTATTAGAGACTTCAACGCGTGGCGGCGCAGCGCCATAAGCGCCGGTGACTTCAATGCATAATTGTCTCCACGGCGAGTCTTCGTTGATGAGCAAGAAAAATCGATGTCGAGGTTTTATTCGGTATTTATGTGACATGGGTATGTTCTCAAGCAATCTCCACCGTCTTGACCCAATCTGGCAGCGTTGAAATATCTGTGGAACTTCTGGCTGGACGAGCTTTCCATCTCCGTCCGTTTTAACTCCTGCGGATCTCTAAAACGGAAACGAAAAAAATTGGAAATTGAGTTGTTAATGTACTCTTGACATCGTTCCGAATCGAAATCAGTCGATAATCGTGTTATAACGCTTAACCCTGACCCTGTTTCCTTCACCGATATTTACCTCTAGTCGACGCGTGTCATACTTTCGCCATTTAGTGGCTTCGCTAATAATGATCTAATTGAGCTAATCAGATGATCTCTCTTTAATAAACGAACAATCATGGAAGAATTTGGCGAGAGATCAAGTTCCTGCTAGAACTAATGATTCCTTCCGTGGGCTGTGCGTGTATTGTTGTCGGAGAACGGTCAACGGGAAGAACGTACCAGGAGAAATAGCCGGGTTTACGTGGAACGTGATTCGAGCGATTCGGAGCGATGACCACCTTTCTCTTCGCGATTGACGCCCGAAGTGCTCGAATTCGAACGTGACGCACAGGTGAATGTATAATCAATAGCACGACGATCGAAATTTTTGCATAATTTACGCACTAAAAGAAATTAGTTCCGGGGGGGGAATTTCAAATGACCGATGATGAAAATTTCCGCTCTTGTTCAACGATAGACGAAATAACATCGTTCTCGTTCCCACGCTCTCCGCTACATTCACTTCAGATTGAATCAATTTCCTCTGGATAGCAATAACGAACTATGCACCAGTTGATAGTGCGCTTCATCTTTTACGCTTACCTGGACAGCTCGTTGGAAACGAGGTTGCTGTGCGGCGAGTACACAGTCGGATTCTTGTACATGCTGCACACGAGCCTCTCTCTACAACTCTCCTCGACGAATCTCAGTTGCTTGAATATCTCCTCTAGCCTGTTAATTATCGGCCCGTAGTACTCGTCGTCGTACTTTGGCCGTTGCGTAACCACTGTTACTTTCGAATCCGCTGGCCCACTCTTCGCCGAAACTTCTCTCGCATTCTGATGTCCAAACGCGACGTACGAATTCTTGACGTTTGTCGCGGTTGGTAGCATCGTTGACGGCAGGTTTGCGGGATTTAAATGAACGTTGACGACAGCTGGCGAAACTGATTGACTCGCTGTTCTGCGGTTGTTATCGGCATACGCTGAATAGGCCAGATTGTGAGCAGACGGCGACGGACGTTTCTCCAAATACGGAGAAACTATCGGATGCGCGTTTGGCGCATATTGAGGAATCCCGTACGTTCCAGAGTAACCGGGCACTGGGAAAGGTGCTCCCGGATGTACTCCCGGCAGAGGCCGAGCTGGCATTGGGCCAGCCTCAATTTCGTAAGGCTCCTCGTAAGGTTCGATTCCCCATTCTTTTAATTCTTCGATATCTTTTCGGTATTGAATATGAGGATGGGCGTAATCGTAGCCGTCGAATTCGTCTTCTTGATGGTGGTGATGATGGTGATTGTAGTAGCTTGGAACTGGTACCGGGACTGGAACGTGGTGATGATGATGCGCTATCTGAAGTAAAAAGAAAATGAAACGTTAGTTTTCATCGACATTGGAGTTCATCTTTAAATTGATGTAATAATAACCTGGTGATGGTGATGGTGGTACTTCGTGCTGTGCGCGGAGTAATAGCTCGAGCATAGCTTAAAAACGTGAGCGAATGCTGGGATGAAGAAAAGTAACAACTTGAGGAAAAGCTTCTTCGCGGCTCCCACGCCGAACAGGAATGGTATCACGAACATGAACTTCACTTTGATCAGCTTGATGATGATGAGCAGAGCTAGCAGGCTTGTCAACAATTTATTCTGTATGAATTTCTCTAAAATGGAAACAATATCGATTAAATTCACAGCAACACTTCGGACTGTCGATAGAAAATACCGTTTATCGTTAAATTAAAATAATTATTCATCGTACTGATTTTCTTGAAGATTCTTCCTTGGCTCTCAAGGCCACGTTGTCCACCGAAGTCCAATTTAACTAGCGCGCCGTTTTCATCCACGTCGCGTGGACTTATTTTAATCGTAGCTCCCTCGAAGAAGAAATCGGGTAATTGAATCTGATAATCCCTGTTCGCGAGGAATTTTACCACCTTCTTCCGCAATGAGTTAGTCACCTCTTCCAAAGGTGACTGCTCTTCGCCGAACTGTCGACCTTCTTCCTCCCCCTTCTCCCCCTCACTTTCCTCCTCGTCGCAGTCATCCTTGCTGGACCCTTCCACGAGATTTTCGTCCATAGAGTCATCACGACTACCCGTTTTGCGACACGTTCCGTAGTTCAAATCGTTCTTGGTCATAGTCAGACCTTCAAACACCGTGATATTGTCCCGTTCCGCGAAAACATTATCCAGATACGCGTAAGCATTCTTTTGTATGCAGGAGAACGTCACAGACTGGTCGCAGTCTCTGATCAATCCTCTCCACAATTCGTTCCCAGTCTCATTGAGTGCCAGGCCATCGAAGTTCAAGATTTTCTTGACGTTGAAGAACTGGCAGCTTGCGTACGCCACGCAGAAATACACGAACACGATCACGGATCTCAAATGCATTCTTGACAACGACTAAATTCCAAAATAAATGTGTATTTTTCTTTTTTCAAAAATTAAAACAAAACTTCGCTCGTACCTGACTGAACTGAAATTTAACACAATCGAATTCGTTGTTATATGTTAAATCGTTCAAGCGTGTAGACTATAGGAAGACAGAACGGCGTTCGATACACTTTTGTTTTCGTCAAACCAACATCGCCCTATCCACGTGCACCTTTTATCACTTCCGCTGCCCCCTCCAACGGCCACGACCTCGATATTAATTTGAATGGATCACACCACCTTTGAACGTTCTACCATCGACAATGGGACAAGATCGATCCTTCAATTCCAAGCAATCCACTCGCATGGTAAACGATTTATCGATTTGTTCGACGATAATATCCGTGTCATCTGGCCGGCATGTCACGTCGTCCTCGTCCGCTGGTTTTCGTCTTCTCCGTTCCTTCTCCGCGAGACGCGTTCCGTTCGATCTCCCGCTTAAAACTAACCACAGGCTTCTCGGTTCTCGGTTACAATTCACCTGAGCGTCAAGTGTGTCAAAGGCCCTCCTACTCCATCCGCGGCCGCTCCGTGGAAGGTCATTATCGTCTCCTTACTGGCTGCAGCCGGGCCACGCGTCCAGCTACACGCGCGCGCGTGTCGAAAGGCATCGACGAGGATTTTTGATTTTGTATGCAACGCCAGACCGAACTTCCTGGCAATGCTCGCGGTGAAAGCGGTTGAAAAACCTGTCAACTTCTCTTCGCAACGATTTCAGTCGAGTCGAAACGTGTGAATCGAGCGTTATGGTTATCGGTGGCATTTTGGTCACGTGTGACGGCGCTCGTCGCTGACACGGAAATTACAACTACTTGTGCCAACTACTCGCTATGATCTTTTCGATTTAACTTGTTATTATTATTACGACGGTGAATATTACAGGCTTAATGAACTTGAAGCTCGTCCGTTCGTTTTGTTGCGGCTTGCAATTGGGAAAAAGAAATTGCGAATTCTATAGAAATTGCGCGAACCGTTGCAGATTGCTGCTTATATGCCATCAAACCGGTCTGATGCGAGCTCGTAAGTGATCCCATTTCGATTATCGTTGGGATCGCTGGGTTGCGGCACATATCCGAATAAACGTAAAATGCTCGTTAGATGCAAGAAAGAAAAAGTAGAACGCGAATATGAAATTCAAAAGTGTGAAATGAAGAAGATCATTGTGTGGAATATTAACTAACATTATCTGCTCGTAACTTTTCGTATTGAGGTTAATTGTCGTGAAAGATGGCAGCAGAACTCGAGATTTGATTCGGCTAGGAAATGAAAGTAATTATTACGTGGAGAAAAATTTCAGATGACCGCTTATTTTCTCCAACCAGTTGTTTTGTTCTCGCTCTTCGTTTCGATAGTGTCGCAATGTCAAGACATTTCTTCTTTATGATTAAATTCATAACAAGTTTCTGCAACAGAACAAATCTTTTTAATTATTTTACTTTTCAAAAGAAATTGATTACTTTACTTGTTAAGTCAGAGTGATCTACAAACTTCATGTAGAAATTGTAGAAATTCTCATTAACGAATGTAACAACTTCGTCATTGGACGTTACATTGTCGCGAATTCTCAGCCAGCTTCAGGCCATAGTTTTTGACTAACAGATTATTGGTGAAGATGTTTCCATTATCGGTGACTTCGATGTAACTTGGACAACTTACATTCGAGAAGAACAATAAGCGTGTTATCACATAGTTACAAACACAGTTTCCAATGATCGATCGTTCTTATGTTTTTATTTTTTTTTTTTATCAAGGAGAAATAGTTGCTGTGTCGTGTCTTCCTGGTTGGGAAAATCCGACTTTGAAGCCGGAAATGTCGCAGTAATATATCTGTCACAGCGTGTTAGGGACATCTTGCAGATTACGCATAATTATACAACTCAGTGAATTAAGCGTAATTACAGAATCTAGGTTTGAAAGAGGCCAGTTTCACTGGCACTCCACTTCCTCGAATTCTTCTTTAAAATCTTACTGATCTACGAAGAAAAGAACGGGAGCTTCAACGCGACATCAATCAACGCCGAAGAAAGTTAGCTATTGTTTCCATCACGTCTTTCGTATCAAGTATTTATATTGAAAACTAACATGAATTCGTCTTGTACAACCTGTATGTACAACCTGTGCTGTTCGAGTAACAAGGATGAAACATGTGCGACTATCGTTCAACGTCACACAGTTTGTCGCGTGGTTACGTCGAATTCCAGAGAAGGAAGATTCCAAAAGGAATCGGGTGGGTCAATGGAGCTGTACGGTGGCGAACGTGGTTCGACCGAATGAATTCCATTGACCTACTATTGATCTGACTGGTAGGTAGGTAGGTTGAGCGACGACCGGCTTGCTCGCTCGATGACCGCCGAAAAGCGATATTGTGGAGCGGTACGTTCACGGAAACGAGCGCCCGTACGCGCGCCTTTTTCATCCTTTTTTTTTTTCCTGCGGCCCTCGATACTCATGGAGAAAGAACGGGTCCGTTCCAGCCAGCCTAGATATTAGTACCGATGCGTTGAATTCACACTCTACCGTATATTCTACCGTTTAATTACTCATGCAGAAGGTGATTCGTAGAACGAATTAAACTTCCAATTTCAAGATTGTGACGCAATATGTCGAACTTTTTAACGAACAACAGAAAAGTTAAACACCGTCATTTGAAAGGCGATTGAAATATAAAAAATAAAAAATAGATGGTTAACTAGAGTGCAGAATTTTTTCTACTTATAAACTTGTTTACGCTATCGAATAAATGAAAGCTGGTGTTTATGGAAATTAGAAAGATAAAAACTCTTTTTTTATATTTCTTGAAAAGATACAAATCGAAAGTACTCGAGCATGTTTGAATTTAATGCTTGCTTGTTTCATGGAACTTTTAATGACTTTATGGGGCTTCAAGAACTAATAGCGGATAGAGAAAAGAGTCGAAAAAATGACTAGAGATAGCGAATAAACAAAAAAGAGAAACTCGTCTGTCAAAGTAGGCCGAAAGAACTGTGTCACTATTTGCAGCGAAAGATTTCCCAAAACATGCAGATTGCGCAAGCTGCCTCGAATCGGAAGTCCATGCGTGCCTTTAAGTGAGAAACACACGTCGGCTGAAAGTATTTGCACAGACGCGATGCATCGGAACTGGTTTGCACATGCTCGAAGTAAGCCAAGCAACTGGGACACGTTACATATATTGGATGAGTGAAAAAAATTTCAAGCATGCGTGTTACTCCTGTTTAATGTCACGTACACAGTCGAAGATCAACATTTAATATCGAAGATCGAAGATCGATAGAATCGAAGATCAAAGATTTAATAAGTGGTATTTATCACGCTTTGTGGAATCTTCAAAAACTTTGATGGCGGAATTAATATTAATTGAAATAAAAAAACTATACGAAGGAATGTTGAAGTAAAAAAAAAAATACTTAAGAATTCAGAAACGTGACGTTGACCCATGAGTCCTAAATTTGTGAATTATGTTTCAGATACATCTGTGGAGCTAGATAAAATACCGTGGAACTATTTAATATTCAATGTTTTCTCTGTATAAAGGAGCAAACGACTAACCAATTGGTCGATGAACTATAATCTTTTCCATCAAAACTTGCGTAACTTTAATGACGTATTCAGGGTAATTGACAAAGGCATTCACCATGGTGAAAAGGACAAGAAAGTTTGTAAATATGCAAGCCTTGTTTATTCGTAAGAATGAACAAGATTGGCATACATTTGCGATACGGAAGAAGAGTAAGTCATAAAACGAAGTTTCTAGCAGGATTCTCTGGAATAATCACCGTTTACCTTGAAAGTGTCAACATACTTACGCACGTGGAAAAAGGATACTATTTTTATACTGTATAATCCATCATCCACGAGTTACGTCGTCCTGGGAAACGACTAGAGCACAATACTATCGTCCTACATTTACATTCGTTTTCCTCTCAGATTGTTTCTTCGTGCAGGTAATTTTTGTTACGTCAACGAAGAATCGGCTAAAGATCCATTACGAGACGAGTGTTGCGCGTGTAGGAAAGTGAACCGATGGCGAACTCTTGGCATGACACGTTTTACCTATTTCTGGCGCGGTTGCAGCCCAGTCTGCTCTCCCACACAGAAACTTTCACCGATTTTTCCGATCGACCGTTTGATTCATTGTTTTCTTTTTTTTTTTTTTTGTTAATCTCTTGTCGATTGATATCCTTAATATCCTTTCCATTAAATTATCAAATCGTTTTCTCAAGTGTTTCTATCTTCTAGGAGTTCGATAAGTCTTCGATGACTCCAATGTTAGCATTACTGATTGCATTACGTCTGAGTCATTGACCTAGATAAGCAATTTAATAACTAGCAATCTTTGAAAAATAATTTAGAACTTCTAATTAAAAGAATGCTTCTTTGAAGTTACTGACGATAAAGAAGCGATCGAAATCATCGGACGCAGAAAAATCCGACTGCCGTTATACTTTTCAAATCAAATCGCGTTGTCTCCAAAAATGCTACGTGCTACGAGTATAAAGTAGCTGTGCTCGCAGATCAAAGTGGGTTAGTTATTGTCCAGAATCGATTCTAAGACGAGCTCGTGAACAGTACACTCTTATACGCAGCTCAAGTATTTACACCACACGCATTTCAATCTGCTTACAGTTATCGCTTAATTAACGCGTCTACGAGTCATTTCTACGCGTACTGATCGCATATATTAAAAAATTATCAATATTTTATATTGTTCAAGGTTGTCGTTTCATGTGGGTTACTTAAGTAGTAACTAGTTTGAGATTTGTACTCCATGTAACATCAGAGATATAATTTCAAATTGTGAGTTACATAAAATTTGGTACAACAAACTTGCGATGATATTTTAATAAAAAAAGAATTAAATAATATATAAAAAATAGAATTTCGTAATTTAAAAACGAGAAATCCAGATTTTATAAAAGAAATAAAAATGATTATAACTAGATTCGATATTGGGTCATAAATTTCACTTCCTTATGACGAAACAATGAAGGAGGGAAAAACAAACGTAAGAAAGATTAAAAGTTTAACAAATATTAATTGTAGAGGTTTGTTGAAGTTTCGTAATAAATAATTAAACAACTTTTAAAGACGTTCGATTTTTCGAAAATGAAATTTATTTTACACTTCCTATTGATGCGATTATATGTTATTACATGTGCAAGGTTTTAATTACTCGGAAGAAGAATTACGTATTTAAACGACGTTGAACTCCATAGCGGAAGTTGATTCATCGCTTTGGACATCTGGTGACAATATTCTTCAACTTGTAACAATTTACTCAATCGATATTGTGATAGTTTATTAGTCTATCATCCTCTATAAGATCATTAATCACAAACGAGGTATATATGAATAGACCTTGCGTACAATGTATTTTTTCAGCCCACGATTACGGGATCTCAAGATCCCCTTACCATTTTTGTATCGCATCCTGTCGTACCGATTCAGGCATGTTTTGTACTACAGCGCTACTAGTGGTGAA